GAAAAGGGAAAGAGAGACACAGAGAGAGAGACGTGAGCAGGAGGTTGGGTCACTCTTGATCCCAGTTCCCAGTGCAAACTTAGGTCACTATCACCTAACCACACATGCAATAAAGTCTTCTGCTTGCTGCTTATAGCCCCCGAGAACCCCTTCTCCTGGAGAATAAAATCTTTTTTTTTTTTTTTTTTTTCTTTTTGAGACAGAGCCTCTGTTGCCTAGGCTGGAGTGCAGTGGCAAGATCTCGGCTCACTGAAACCTCCACCTCCTAGGCTCAAGCGATTATTCTGCCTCAGCATCCCGAGTAGCTGGAACTATAGGTGTGCGCCACCATGCCCGGCTAATTTTTGTATTTTTAGTGGAGATGGGGTTTCACCATGTTGATCAGGCTGGTCTCGAACTCCTGACCTCAAGTCATCCACCCGCCTCAGCCTCCCAAAGTGCTGGGATTACAGGTATGAGCCACCATGCCCGGCCTGCAACATTTTTAATAGCAAAAAAAGAAAACAACCAAAGTGTTTATCAGTAGGGATTTCATTAAATTGTGATGGTCATAAGCTAATGTTCTATTCAGCTATTAAAAGGAATGATGTGGATTTCTATTTGCTAATATGGAAAGATGGCTTGATATTTTATGAAGCACAAAAAGCAAGGTGCACCTCAAAATGTATAGTGTGATTTATTTGGTAAAGTGAAAGAAATAATAAATAAACTCGTATATGTAAAAACATATTTCCTGTCTGGGCATCGTGGTTCACACCTGCCAACCCAGCACTTTGGGAGGCCAAGGCGTGTGGATCATCTGAGGTCAGGAGCTCTAGACCAGCCTGACCAACATGCCAAAATGCCATCTCTACTAAAAGTACAAAACCCTAGCTGGGCTGTGTTGGTGAATTTCTGCCGTCCCAGCTACTCGGGAGGCTGAGGCACAAGAACTGCTTGAACCCAGGGGGCAGAGGTGGCAGTGAGCCGAGATTGTGCCACTGCACTCCAGCCTGGATGGCAGAGTGAGACCTTATTTCAAAAACAAAACAAAACCAAAAAACCTTTACACAAATGTTCATTGGAGTATTATTCATAATAGCGAAAGTGAAAATAACCCAAATGTTTATCAGCTGAAAAATGAACTGTGGTGTATTCATACAATGGTATATGTTTGACAATAAAAAATGCTGAAGTACTGACATGTGCCACAGTGTCAATGAACCTTGAAAATCAAGTGGCCAGGAACAGTGTCTCACACCTGGAATTCCAGCAATTTGGGAGGCTGAGGCTGGTAGATCACTTAAGGTGAGGAGTTCAAGACCAGCCTGGCCAAAATGGTAAAACCCATCTCTACTACAAATACAAAAATTAGCCAGGTGTGAAGGCATGCACCTGTAATCCCAGCTAGTCAGAAGACTGAAGTAGATTTGCTTGACTCCAGGAGCGGGAGGCTGCGGTGAGCTGAGGTAGCCGCCAGTGGTACTCCTGTCTAGGTAGCAGAGTGAGACCATGTCAGAGAAGGGAAGAGGAGGAGAGAAGAGGGGAGAGGGCAGGAGAGGGGAGGAAAATAAGTCAGTCGCAAAAGACCATATGGTGTATGATTCCATTTATATGAAGTGCCCAGAATAGGCAAATTCATGGAAATAAAGCAGATTAGTGGTTGTCAGGAGCCGGGAGGGGAGGAAGGAATGGGAAGTGTCTGTTAATGAGCATGGAGTTTCTTCTGGGTATAATGAAACTGTTCTGAAATTAGTGGTGATGGTTGCACAACTCTGTGAATGCACTAAAAACCACTGAACTGTACACTTTTCAAGGATGAATTGTATGTATGTGAATCATATCTCAATAAAGTTGTAGTATTTTAAGAAAGGAAATAAGCTCTCTCCTGCCTTTCCTCAGTGAACTATATTTTCAGGTAACCACATAATCCTGGATGATGTAGGGAATTCTTGTTTACAGAATTCCAGCTCATAGAGGTAGAAAGAATGATAGAAATGCATTATTTTACCACGTCTAATGAAATCAATGACTCAGAGATCTTCAAAGGAAAAACCATTACTTGGAAGGCTGATGGGGAACTTCCCAAACGTGAAGTCAGATTGCTGCCATGCAAACCCACCAAGGGGCTCCTACGATGTGACTTCCCAGAAGCACTCAGCAAAACCTGTGAAATGCACCTAACAAAAAAAGTTGGATCAGTGCCAGGCATGGTGGCTTATGCCTGGAATCCCGGCACTTTGGGAGGCCGAGGCAGGCAGATCACAAGGTCAAGAGATTGAGACGGCCAACATGGTGAAACCCCGTCTCTACTAAAATATAAAAAATCAGCCGGGCATGGTGGCGCGCACCTGTAGTCCCAGCTACTCTGAAGGTTGAGGCAGGGGAATCACTGGAACCTGGGAGGCGGAGGTTGCAGTGAGCCAAGATTGTGCCATTGCACTCCAGTCTGGCGACAGAGCAAGACTCCGTCTCAATAATCACAACAATAATAATTTTAAAATTAGCCAGGTATAGTGTTGCATGCCTGTAGTCCCACCTACTTGGGAGGCTGAGGCAGGAGGATTGCTTGAGCCCAGGAGTTCGAGGCTGCAGTGAGCCATGACCACACCATCAACACTCCAGCCTGGGTGACAGGATGAGATCCTGCCTCTAAAAAATAATAATGACAATAATAAATTTTTTTTTTTTTTTGAGATGGAGTTTCGGTCTTGTTACCCAGGCTGGAGTGCAATGGCGCGATCTCGGCTCACCGCAACCTCCGCCTCCTGGGTTCAAGCAATTCTCCTGCCTCAGCCTACTGAGTAACTGGGATTACAGGCACGTGCCACCATGCCCAGCTAATTTTTTGTATTTTTAGTAGAGACGGGGTTTCACCATGTTCACCAGGATGGTCTCGATCTCTCCACCTCGTGATCCACCGACCTTGGCCTCCCAAAGTGCTAGGATTACAGGCTTGAGCCACCACGCCCGGCTGACAATAATAAATTTTTAAAAATTAGACTGGGCCTGGGTGTGGTGGTTTATGCCTGTAATCCCAGCACTATGTGAGGCCAAGGCAGGTGGAATATTTGAGGTCAGAAGTTCAAGATCAGCCTGGTCAACATGGTGAAACCCCACCTCTACTAAAAATACAAAAATCAGCTGGGCATGGTGGCACGTGCTTGCAATTCCAGCTACTCAGGAGGCTGAGGCAGGAGAATCAGTTGCACCTGGGAGGCAGAGGGTGCAGTGAGAGGAGATTGCACCACTGCACTCCAGCCTGGGTGATGGAGTGAGACTCTGTCTCAAATAAATAATAAGAAGTTAGACCTGAATCTACTCAAGGCTTGAGGGCTAATTTACAGGAAAGAGGGAGACAGAGAAGCTAGTTAAATAACAGCACAAGGCAACAAACAGAAAATTCCAGAATGTGGGAATTCTACCGGACAACAGGCCCTACTTCTGCATCAAGGCAACAAGATGGAACAAACGAAAAACAAAGGAAGGAAGGACTTTGGAATAAAAGCGGCTCAAAAGACGATCTTTGAAACATCCTGCTCTTGCACAGGCTCTTAAGCAACATGGAAATAAGTTTGATGGAAAATAAACATCAGTTTCTAAAAAGTTGAAAAAAAAAATCACCACACGATTGTGACTGTGGTGGGAAGACTTTGTGTGGATCCCGATTTGAACAAAGCAATCATAAAAAGACACTCGGAGACAATTAGCAAAATTTGATTATGGCTGAACATTAAATTATTCCAAAGAATAATGCTTCATGTTGTTAGGCATGATCAGGGCATTGTGGACATTTTTTTACAGCTGCACGCTGAAGTGTCATCATAATGCACAGTGGAATGATAGAATGTCTGGGATTTGCTTTAGAAGACTTCTCCAGGCCAGGCACAGTGGCTCATGCCTGTAATTCCAGCACTTTGGGATGCTGAAGCGGGCGGATCACCTGAGGTCAGGAGTTCGAGACCAGCATGGCCAAACAGGGCGAAACCCTGTCTCTACTGAAAATATAAAAATTAGCCAGGTGTGGTGGCACATGCCTGGGGTCCCAGGTACTTGGGGGGCTGAGGCAGGAGAATCGCTTGAACCCAGGAGGCAGAGGTTGCAGTGAGCCAAGATCACACCACTGCACTCCAGCCTGGGCAACAGAGTGAGACTCAGTCTCAAAAAAAGAAAAAAAAAAAAAAAGAATAAAGAGCAAAGAAAGGAAGAATATATTAAGAATATGTAGCAAAACTTAACATTGAATCTGGATGATGGAACTGTAGAAAATGTTTTATTACTTCCACTTTTCTATAATTTATAACATTTTCAAAATGGATGGAAACTAAAAAGTATATGCCAAGGATTTCTGGGAAGAGTTAAGAAAACCATTTCATGACAAGTAAACAGAAGGAGAAAAGCAATATTTATGAATTAATACAGTTATGTTACATAATTATCTTACATTATTTGTGATTTTTAAGATTTGTGCAATCAGGTTGGTAGATTAAATTATATGAACAGCCATTCGTCTATCTACAGCTCTTCAAGTTTACGTCTACAAGGTTTTTTTGTTTTTGTTTTTGTTTTTTTGGTTTTTTTGGGGACGGAGTTTCGCTCTTGTTACCCAGGCTGGAGTGCAATGGCGCGATCTCGGCTCACCGCAACCTCCGCCTCTTGGGTTCAGGCAATTCTCCTGCCTCAGCCTCCTGAGTAGCTGGGATTACAGGCACGCGCCACCATGCCCAGCTAATTTTTTGTATTTTTTAGTAGAGACGGGGTTTCACCATGTTGACCAGGATGGTCTCGATCTCTTGACCTCGTGATCCACCCGCCTCGGCCTCCCAAAGTGCTGGGATTACAGGCTTGAGCCACCGCGCCCGGCCCACGTCTACAAGGTTTATCCACAGTTCTTCAAGTGTATGTCTACAGGGTGGCCAACTGCTTAAAAAGTTATCCTTGAGCAATCTGAATTTGCCCGTCATCATTTTCTGCTGGGTTTCAAAGACCCGGGAGAAGCTTAGAGTTGTGTCAAGACAAAAATGGACCCAACACAGAAGTTTAATCTAACCTTCATCCCAGAGTCTTCACAAGTGGTCACCGAAGAAACTTACCTGGACGATTCAGGGGCCTCTCAAAACTTCTCCGAGACATTGATAAAGAACCTTAGTCAGCTGACTCTCAACGCCAGTACTGAATTCCCTTCCCCTCTACCAGAGGGTTCACTCCATCAGCAGTCTACAGGAGCAGCAGTCCTCAGGGAAATCGGAGATGACAGGAGGAGAGGAGCAAGAACATTGCTGTCTGTGAAGAGAGAAAGGCTGGCAAGATTCAGATACATGTTACTTGGCACAGGTCCTAGGCAGCCTGAAAGAACACTAATGAACACTGGGCTTAAGGGAGTTAAGAATGCATCGAGAAGAGGAATATTCAAATGTCCCTGCAGTTTCTGCGAGTCTAGCGGATGGGATCCTTCTGAGAATGCTAGAATGGGGAACTATGACACCAAGCCACTTCAGCCATAAACCTTATTCTTGCCCCTTTTATTTTCTTGCTGGTAATTTTATACAGCAGACCGAGAAAGTTACTCTCTGCTCATACGGATTATACACCAATAATTTTGATAATGAGTTCGAGCTTGTATTTTTCTTGTATCTTTTTCCCTACTATGATGCTAGTGATTTATAAGGGATCTGTATAGTTTGAATATATTTGGATAACTTTAGCTCTACTGTTTGGTTAGACCCAAAGAAGCCAAGAGCATTTAAGTATTCCCGTGTGTTTCAGAAACCCAAAGTCAGTAAGGTAAAACCCAGCAACAAGAAATTGAAGCAAAGTTACTTGTGGATAAAGAAAGCATTAGCTAGTTTGGTTAGAGCATAATAATTAGATTTTCTGGCTTTCAAAAATTTGGGTTGCAATAAGAGCAAAGTTTATGCTATTTTTACAGTATTCAGTACAAAAAGGTGTACATATAGAAACAATAAAGTTGACATTTGATTACCTTAAAAAAAAAAGTTATCCTTATAGGGAAAATGCAGTGTTGCCCACGTATGGGCACAGCTCTGGAACAGTAACAGCTCTGGGAGGGCGTTAGGGAAGAAAGTGACATATGGTATATACATAATATAGAATATTATTCGGCCTTTAAAAAGGAAATCCTGCAATGTTGGACAATAAGGATAAACCCCAAGGATATTGTGCTTTGTGAAATAAGCCAGTCACAGAAGGACAAATCCATCATGATTCCACTGTAAACTAAAAATAAAATCCCAAGTTCCCCACTGACTCAATGGACCTCCTCTAGGCTACGGAGATCCCAGAAAAACCTTAGAGACTGAGTCCCCAGCTACAACAGGGTGGGAGGTTAGACGTGTGATATGGTTTGGCTGTGTCCTCACCCAAATCTCATCTTGAATTGTAGTTTCCATAATCCTCACGTGCTGTGGGAGGGGTCTGGTGGGAGGTAATTGAACCATGGAGGTGATTACCCCCCATGCTGCTGTTCTCAGGATGGTGAGTGAGAGTGAGTTCTCAAGACATTTGATGTTTTGTTTTCGTTTTAGAAGGAGTCTTGCTATTTTAGTAGAGGTGGAATTTCACCATGATAGCCTCGAACTCCTGGGCTGAAGTGATCCTCCTGCCTCAGCCTCGCTAGCAGCTGGGATTATAGGCATACATTACCATGCCCAGCTAAGTTTTTAGTTTTAGTAGAGATGGGGAGTGGATCTCACTGTGTTGCCCAAGCTGGTCTCCAATTCCCAGTCTCAAGCAGTCCTCCTGCCTTGGCCTCCCAAAATGCTGGGATTACAGGCATGAGCCACCACACCTGGCCTGTGATACGTTTAAATGTTAAGTCCAAACATTAGTTCAACCTAAAGTGAACATGGGTCATATATTACATGCACGTTAGTTCAACACGTGTGGGTCAGCACTGACTTCATGAATATTCATAGCTCCTCCTGTAATCTGCTGAATATGTATATTCAGCCAACCCATTCAGTTTAAATTCCCGTCCAATCCCTCCTCCTCCAAAGTTCCATCTCTGGTCTTTGCTAGAATCTGTGTTTTCAACCCTGCAGGATGGCCACCTTGCAGTCAGAATCCTATAAAAGAAATAAAGTCTCATCTCCTTATCTAAATGCATAGATCTTGTGATTTTTTTTTTTTCATGAGACAGAGTCTCACTCTGTCTCCCAGGCCGAAGTGAGTTGATCTCTGCTTACTGCAACCTCTGCCTCCCGGGTTCAAGCAATTCTCTTTCCTTAGCCTCCCAAGCAGCTGGGACTACAGGAATGCACCAACCACCATGTCCAGCTAATTTTTTGTTTTTTGTTTTTTGTTTTTTGTTTTTTGTTTTTTTGTAGAAACGGGGTGTCACCATGTTGCCCAGGCTGGTCTTGAACTTCTGGCCTCAAGTGATCTGCCTGCCTCGACCTCTCAAACTGCTGGGATTAAAGGCATCACCGTACCTAGCCTAGATCTTATGATTGTTTTAAATTACTACCACTTACTTATATGAGGTACCTAAAAACAGTCAAACTCACAGACTCAGAGAGTAGAATTGTGGTTGCCAGGGGCTGAGTGTGGGGAGGTGGAAACAGGGATTTGCTAATCAATGGACACAACATCTCAATTATGCAAGATGAGTTAGTTATTATTCCTGTAGTTAACAATATTATATTGTACACTTACAAATTATTGGGGGGCATAGGTGGATAGAAGAATAGTTAATGAATGCTGGGCTTAATACCTAGGTGATGTGATGATCTGTGCAGCAAACCACCATGGCACACATTTACCTAAGTAACGAACCTGCATATCCTGCACATGTACCCTTGAACTTAAAATAAAAGTTGAAGAGAAAGAACAAATCTTAAGAGGGTAGATCTCATGTTAAGTGTTCTTACTATGATTTAAAAATTTTTTTTCAAGGAGGGGGAAGTATGGGACCAAAAAAGAGCCTGCATAGCCAAAGCAAGACTAAGCAAAAAGAATAAATCTGAAAGCATCATATTACCCAACTTCAAACTATACTATAAGGCTATAGTCACTAAAACAGCATGATACTGGTATAAAATAGGTATACAGACCAATGGAACAGGATAGAGAACCCAGAAATAAAGCCAAATACTTACATCCAAATGATTTTTGACAAAGCAAACAAAAACATAAAGTGGGGAAAGAACACCCTATTCCACAAATGGTGCTGGGACAATTGGCAAGCCACACGTAGAAGGATGAAACTGGATCCTCACCTCTCACCTTATATAAAAATCAACTCAAGATAGGTCAAAGACTGAAATCTAAGACCTTGAACCACAAAAATTCTAGAAGACAACATTGAAAAAACTCTTCTGGATATTGGCTTAGGCAAAGACTTTATGACTAAGAACCCAAAAGCAAATGCAACAAAAGCAAAAATAAATACATGGGACCTAATTAAATTAAAAAGCTTCTGCACAGCAATAATAATAATAATAATAATAATAATAATAAGCCCACAGAGTGGGAAAGAATTTTCACCAACTATGCATCCAGTAAACGACTAATATCCAGAACCTACAAGGAACTAAAACAAATTAGCAAGAAAAAGAGCAAATAATCCCATCCAAATGTCACATGCTAAGGACATGAATAGACAATTCTTAAAAGAAGATACACAAATGGCCAACACACATGTGAAAAGTGCTCAGTATCACTAATTAACAGGGAAATGCAAATCAAAACCACAATGCTATACCTACTCCTGCATGAATGTCCATAATCAAAAATAAAAAAAAATAGACGTTGACATGACGTGGTGAAAGAGAACACTTCTACACTGCTGGTGGGAATGTCAACTGGAGGAGATTGGTCAGGGTGGTGGGAAAAATTACAGGAAAGACACAAACCTTCTTGGAAGGCTGGGAGGTTTTCAAAAGCTTCGGGAAAGGGTTATGGCTGAAGGCAGCCGAATCCACTTACCTTGAGCTAACAGCAGAGGACATATAACAAGGGAGTGCAAAGGAATTTATCGAGATGAATTTATCTATTTCTCTGGAAACCAACCATTGATCATCAGGGCGCAGGACTGCCCCCTACTGGGGGTGGGGGGTCGACAATGTTAATTACCCACAAACGGTGCTTGCTCCAAGCCTTTGTCGTTAAAATTTGTACTAAATAAATGCGAGCTCTCCAGCTGCTTATTGGGGCCTCACTTTCTCCTCGGCTGTGCTGAGCCTTGCAGTTCAGCCGCACTCGCAGGCAAAAAAACCTGGGTCTGTGTACTCTGTTCATCCATCACTCGGCCAGTCTGTGAGACAGACTTGACTGTAAACTAGTACAACCACTATGGAAAACAGTATGGAGATTCCTTAAAGGACTAAAAGTAAATCTGCCATTAGATCCAGCAATCCCACTAGGGGGTACCTACACAGAGGAAAAGAAGTCACTATGCGAAAAAGACACTTCCACACACGTTTATAGCAGCACAGTTCATAATTGCAAAAATATGGAACCAGCTCAAATGCCCATCAATGTACGAGTGGATAATAAAAATGTGGTGTGTGCATATATATATATATATATACATATAACACAGAATACTACTCAGCCATAAAAAGGAATGAAATCATGGCCTTTGGAGCAACCTGAATGGAGTTACAGACCATTGTTTTAAATGAAGTAACTCAGGAATGGAAAACCAAATATCACATGTTCTCACTTATAAGTGGGAGCTAAGCTATGAGGATACAAAGGCATAAGAATGATACAATGGACTTTGGGAACTTGGGGGAAAGGATGGGATGGGGTGAGGGATAAAAGACTACACATTGGGGGCTGGGCACAGTGGCTCATGTCTGTAATCCCAGCACTTTGGGAGGCTGAGGTGGGCAGATCACCCAAGGTCAGGAGTTTGAGACCAGCCTCACCAATATGGAGAAACCCCGTCTCTACTAAAAATACAAAATTAGCTGGGCATGGTAGCGCATGCCTGCAATCCCAGCTACTTGGGAGGCTGAGGCAGAGATTACACACCTGTAATCCCAGCTACTCGGGAGGTTGTGGTGAGCTGGTGAGCTAAGATCATGCCATTGCACTCCAGCCTTGGCAATGAGAGCGAAACTCTGTCTCAAAAAAAAGACTACATATTGGGTACAATGTACACTGTTCAGGTGATGGGTCCCCCAAAATCTCAGAAATCACCAAAAGAACTTATCCATGTAACCAAACACCACCTGTTCCCCAAAACTACTGAAGTAAAAATTAAAAAGAGTGGGTGAAATTAGTCAGGTGTCGATGCACATGCCTGTAGTCCCAGCTACTGAGGAGGATGAGAGGGATGATTGCTTGAGCCCAGGGGTTTCAGTCCAGCCTGGGCAACACAGCCAGATCCTTCAAGAGGGAAGGAAGGAAGGAAGGAAGGAAGGAAGGAAGGAAGGAAGGAAGGAAGGGAAGGAGGGAAGGAGGGAAGGAGGGAAGGAGGGAAGGAGGGAAGGAGGGAAGGAGGGAAGGAGGGAAGGAGGGAAGGAGGGTAGGAGGG